TTTGCCTAATCTATCTTGCTGGCAAACAGTAATCTTAGTACTATTGGATTTAAAATTTTAGATAACCCCCTCTACAAAAATTGCACGCCATGCACTAATGGGTTAAATAGTTTCAGCATCCTAGCTGATTAGGAGTTAATTAAACCAAAGAAGGCATGAAATTCATTAATTATTAAATCTAGAAGGTGGCTTGAAACTTTTAGTTTATAGTGTATATAAAGATTTACTAATATGTTAAAAAGGAAACATTTGTAGAGCACTGTCTTTGGCTTTATCTAACCAGTGGATATATTTCATGGTAGATGTTAAGGTTGCATATTTGAATGGTAATAGGATTGAATAAGATATTTAAGATCTCCATCTAAAGCTTTTAATAGAAACTAAATAAAATTCTGTACAAGATACAACCCTAGCATGGTACATAAAAATTAGAAATGAGTTAATGTTCCTTTTCAGTGGAAATATGTTCTTTAAACAATTCCCTATTTTCATTTCATAACAATGACACATTTGAAGGTATCATTTTTATTGCTGTGGATGTTTTTATTCCAGCCATTTACAATATGTTTGAAGAGTGTTCTTGATTGGAAACCCTATATTTTTAAATACCAATGACAGTTTAACAGTCAATTAGCCAGCTTCAATATGTATCATCATTATCACTTATTCCCCTATCAGTTGTCAATGACCAATTCAGAAGACTAGTAAGCTATCTGAAATAGAAGAAAAATTACAGGTCCTTGAGTCAGCTGAATTGCTTAACTACAAATACCAAGCCTGATGTTACATTATTCAGACTATTGTCCTCATCTTTGTTGCCATATTTATTACAATGTTTCGGACGTTGTACGCTCCAGCCTTCTTCAGGTGGTTGGAATGTCGAACTTAACCCTTTATTTTGCTTTATCCACTGTGCCATGTGTTTTCAAAGACACATGGCACAGTGGATAAAGGCGTTGGTTAGATCCAGGGATAAGACCCAAAGAATGTGAGTTCAATACCCAGTTAAGGCAGTGGAGAACTTTCAGAGGCAAATTAACAGGAGATAACTGATAACTGACATCCATTAAACATGGCACGTGGAACTAGAACAGTGAGCGAAATAAAGGGTTAAGTTCGACATTCCAACCACCTGAAGAAGGCCGGAGCGTACAACGGCCGAAACATTGTAATAAATATGGCAACAAAGGTGAGGACAATAGTCAGAATAATGTAAATAAGGTACATAATACCTCATCTCAGAAATATAGACAGATACGGAAGCCTGATGTTACCTTTGATAATTGTGGATAACTTTCTAAAATGAAATTAATCAATAGAGAACCTATGACAGGTTGAAGTTTTTTTTAAATATAAAAATCTTTTCTTTTTGAGTGCATCACTAACAACACAGCCTTTGCGGATGGAAACTCCCATCAGGTTTTATACCTTCTTCTGTCCTATAAATATTGGCCATCAAGAAAAATATGATTAAGTAAACTTTATTTACAGAGTCTGTGACATTACTTGATTGTGTGAAACTGTCATTTACATTGTCCATTAAATAAAAGAATTATCAAGTTGTCCTTAAAAATAAACTGCATCAAAGACAATGCCTGAGTTAAAAATAGAAGTTATCATAGACAATGCATTAGTATTGTATTCTTATAAAAAGTATAATAAGTATTTATTATACTTTTTATAAGAATACAATACGTACTTATTGAGCCAATCTTACTCCATGGCTCTGAAACTTGGACTCTCTCAGCAAAACAACAGCGCCGTTTAGATGGATGTTATACACGTCTTTTAAGAAGAGTGCTTAATCTCTCATGGCGAAACCGCCCAACTCTAGAAATGATATATGGAGACTTGCTGAGAGTATCAACCTTAGTTTGCAAAAGACGTGTCCAGTTCGCCAGGCATTGTGCACGTGCCACAGATGAACTTGTGTCATCATTTGTATTCTGGAGGCACCCATCATCTGACAATCGATTACGCAAGTTAACCTTTCCAGATAGGATAAAACAAGACACATTGATCCCTAAGGAAGATCTTTTAGGAGCTATGACAGATAGGGAATACTGGAGAGGTGTAGTGAGTTCAATCTCGGCTGAGGCTGCAGGATGATGATGATGATAAAAATTATAGAAGATAAAAGGTTATGATTGGATATGGTCATAATTACAGTTATGTTAGAGGGGAGATAATTTGTTGAACAGTTACATCTTAACAGATTGCTAACTGCTTGACCAAAAAAAGAGGGTGAAAACAGACAAATTAAGAGCTGCTGTCTATGGGAATAAACAGTTGCTTTCATTCTTTTTTTGTTTTAGCGGAAATTAATGCCAAATCAGTTATCTCCAAAATACAATAAGAATTGTTAAAATTGTATTACATAGTCTTTTCGAAATTGCCTGGTGTGAACAAGAAATTATCTCCCTTTTTATACTCTTCTTGAAAACTGTCTATCGAATCTTTAACAATATTTAATTGCATAATATTCAAGTAAAAATAAAATCCTCTTATGTTTGTCTTAGATGAAAATTAACCTTCTATTAAAGATATGTTGAAGTGTATTCATATTCATTTATTATTTTTTTTTTAATACTAATCTTCACCCACATCAAGTTCGAAGAGCCACTCATGGTAGAGGGTAATGGTGTGGTGTTGTATAAGCATAAGAAAGGGCAAGAAGTGAAGTTCTTGTGGCTATGCAGAAAAGATAACGGTTAACTTGAAGAATTCAATATTGTTGTGATTGGGAAAACAGAAGCGAATGAACAGAATTTAAAAGGACCCAAAAACCCAATTTATGGGCGATACTATACACAAGTTGTTTATTTCTGAACTTTATAAAGTGAAATTATTTTTTATATTCAACTGCTTGTAGTAAGTAATATTTCATGTAGAATTCAGTATTATTGAAAATGTATTTCTCAGTTGATAACAATAAAAACAATTAAAGACCCATATAGAAAATACTATATCTTTGGTGGTGTTAAGTGCATATATGTTTTAAACGATCTTGTTTCTAATTAAATTGTTGTGTACTCTCACTATTACTGTGACATCACTCCCTATCATTTATTCAGTAAAGTGCTTACTGTATAACTGAAGGAATACAATTAAGTAGTCAATTAACCTTCAGCTTGAAGTCTTGTTTTTATGCAAAAGTGACATTTTGAGAAGAGCCACAGTCTGAAAGCAGGAATGAGAGAGAAGATGCAACTCATTTGTGAGCAACACATCATGAACTGGAGTTATGGTTCAAGCAACCAAATATCCTTTGTTATTTGACATGACCAGAAGACAACAAAGATACAATTATATATGCAAAATCCTGGTTTATGTTGAAATGATATAGACAACAAAGTAACCAAGAGATGCAACAGTTGCCATCCTCACACCAAAAAACATATTTGGTGACTTGTAATTACAACAACATTTTTCTTTTGTAGGCCTGTTTAATGTTATCCTTAGAGAGTGTTTATATGCCTTCTCACCAGCTGGCTCTGGACATGATGAAGGTAAGTTGTATTGTTTGGATTTTTTTTTTTTTTTTTTTTTTTTTTACCCGTATCTTATTTTTTAAGTTTTTGACTTGATTTGGACATTTTCAGTAGCATCACGGATTGAGGAATTGGGGAGCCAATTTCGAATTCCAGTCGAATCCATTACATTCACTTACATGCTAATATCCTTGGGAAAGATATGAACTTAAGTGTGTATCACGTATGGCACATAATTGACTATTTTAAATGTAAAATATTGCACAGAAAATGAGTTATGCCTACACAGTCTATTATCAAAATCCTTAGGATCAGACACTTTCAAAGGTAGACAATTAAATTAATTGTTACTCACAGGGAATCTGCAGCTCTTTCTAATAATAGTTTTCAAAGTAAAAATAAATTGAACTCAAAAAAATAAATAAAACACAAAATTTTTTTTTTTTTTTTAAATCATTTCACCCCAAGCAAGGTGAGAATACCACTAGTATGCAGGGAGTTATATAGAACTAAAGTGAGAGAAAAGACTCTGTATAAGGGAAATTGAGGAAAGGATAAAAGAAGAACAGGATTCAAGGTGACAAGATGGCAATTGTCATTGCATGTAAATTTTTGAAAATGCCTGTTTTCAGGGAAGCAAGTAAACAGAAGTGTGTTCCACTGTCAGGAAGTGCAGGAAAAGAAACTGTTAGAATAGAAGTGGCAGTTACATTTAACTATTTAAACAGTAAAAGGATGGGGCCTAGTAGCATGATAAAGTCATGTAGTCAGGGCACCAGAGGAAAAAAGGTTGTCAGAGCAGTTGCCATGAAAATATTTGTAGAAAAGACAGAGTGAAGTCACATCATGTCTGTGAGAAAGTGTTGAAGTCTAGATGTGAGCACCTGAGGCACATCTGACTAGGTGGGATACTGAGACACAACTGTATGGTATAAATTAAGCCAACTCCCTTCTTTTTTTGGTAAATTTGCTTTTTAAGCCCCGCACTAAATATCTATTAAAATTTTCCCAAATTGTTATATTTCCATGTAAATGTACATGCTGAACTCAAAATAACAATTAATTTTGATAAAACCAACCATTTTGGAGTTATCAACAATAAAGGTTTAGACTCGGTCACGTTCAGCCATCAGCCATTACTGGCAAAACATTTTGTGCATGGAAGCTTAATTAACAGCCTTTTTATTGCACTTAACTGATCTTACTCGTCTAAATTACTACACACTAAAGCTGTGTCAGAAAACGATGACAAGTGTTTTTTTTTTTTTATAGTAAACCTTTTTCTGTGTAGAAAATCAACGACAATTGTTGTAAAGCTTTTATTTTAAATTAAAAATAAAACAATAATTAATGTGGAAACTTTGTAAAGAGCATGATTTTTTATTTACAAAATAAAAATATGCTAGGAAGGAGCATTTCTTTTTATTTTGTAAATAATCATGTTCTTTTCAAAGTTTGTGCAAACCTTGAGCATTATTATTTGTTTTATTTTTAATTTAAAAGAAAAGCTTTATTTTATTATTTAATTTGTTTTTTTTTATTTAAAAAGAAAGATTTACTATAAAAAAAGCAACAGTTGAAAAAATCAACACTTGTCATCGCTTTCCAACATAACTTAATTGCGTAGTAATTTAGACGAGTAAAATCAGTTAAGAGCAGTAAAAAGGCCGTTAATTAAGCTTCCACATGCAAAATGTTCTGCAGTGAATGTAGTTAAACAAGGCCAGTAATAGCCAACGGCTGAACACAACTGAGTCTGAACTTTTATTGTCAATAACTCCAAAATGGTAGGTTTTATCAAAATTTAATTGTTATTTCGAGTTCAGCATGTACATTTATTTACACAGACATGAAGATTTGGGAAAATTTTAATAGATATTTAGCACAGGGCTTAAAAAACAAATTTACTCTTTTTTTTTTTTTTTCCTTCTATGTGCTGTGTCCTTTGGGAACATTGGCAAATATTGTTCTCCACAATTTCCTCACCTTTGTAGCTCTCAGTAAATTTTGTCTTTTTTCACTATTTCTACTAATCCCCAATCTACCAACAATTTACACAAGCTCATTAGTTGCAGCTTTCCTCTGTCTCTCACCTTCAAAGGCTTAGAGCCACATCATGTTGAAACACCGGCTCCCATACGATTCCAACACCTACTCATTTCACATATTTCACTTATTATTAAATTTCAACTACAATCTTCGCTCTTGAGCCTTGTATTGGCTGATATTTAGTAAAAATAGAAAAGGTAAAAACAAAAAATAGATTCCATTATATTTCTATAATTTATATAATAATAATATACTATATTTCAGGTTAAAATAACTTTTTATTCTAGTATTACCTAGCAAAGATTGGCTTATTTATTGGTACTCCTATAAAATTATCAAAATCAATGAAATGGTAGTTTTTCTGTTTTTATTTTTATTTTTTTTTTTAAAAAGAAATGTGCTATATAGGAATAAAGTGTTGCTGACGACACTGGAGTTTGAACACAGATCACCAGTGAGCAAACACAGGCAATCCCATTTTGAATAAGTAGATCACATGATCACAAAGGAAATGTATATATGGGAATTTGCATGGTGTCTAAGTGATCAATCTTTCTACACTATCCTCTATCTCTATACTATTCACTATACTATACAGATCACTACTCTCTGTACTATTAACTATACTGATCGCTACACGGATTACTATTCGGTGGTTACTATTCAAACAAGTATTATTGAGCAAGTACTATTAGTGCAAGTGTTATTCAAAGGCGTCTGATGCTAGTATTGTTCAACGGTGTTACTATAGTTGTATCTGCAATTACAAAGTATCTACTACAACAAGCATTACAAAAGTGGCAACTAGTGTTCGTTGACATCACAAAAAAAAAGGAAATCATAATTTCTCAAAATTAAAAACTATTAGAGAAACAAAGAAAAGAATACTAAACTGTTATGTGATATCTATGGCAGTGAGTGCTGGACAATATCCTTGAAGAGGTGATTTTAAGCAACTGAAATGTGGTTCTACAGAAGGATGCTGAAAATACGATGGACTGAACATCTGAGCATTCACAAAATTTTGGAGAATATAGAAGCAAAAGATAAACCTATATTTAACATCAGGAAGAGACAATTGAAATTTCTAAGGCACTTAATAAGGAAAGGGGGCTTTGCAGAACAGATTGAAGGCAAGAGGGACAAAGAAAAACAACACATAACCTACTTCAGTAAATGAGTTTCGGTAAATGGATGCTGGAACACAGTTCAGGAGAAATAACAAAACAAGAAAATTTATTAAGTGCTACAAAGGAGCCATGATCACCTACATCCTCAGGGGACACTGTGCATAAAGAAGATTGATATAATGGCGTTTATTTTTTTGTTGTTGTTCGTAATATATTCAGTTAATATTCACATTATTAAAATCCTTGGTTTAATGATACTTCATATACTTAATAATACTTCAATATTAAAAAAAAATAAAATAAGACCTGATTAACAAATCAAAATTTGAATATTTTAAGAATTGTATTTTATAATTATGAATCGAACATGAATTTATATATAGATATTTATTGGACTAAGCTGATTTTAATCCAAGCACCCAGTAAAGACCAAATTTATTATCAGTGGTTTGTAATACTAGCTTACTAACTACAGCCCTGCAGTAGGTACTTATTTGCAAGTTAATGCTGAAATATTCTCAGCTCTACTTAGTCATCCCAAGTATTTTATAGTACCCCACATCATAAATACACATTCCATTTCTCAGAACTTTATTTTTGTTTGGCTTGTACATCTTCCCATAGTTTAAGGATTATTCTATTAATAATCATGTACTAAAAATAAGTTTGAAAAAATATTATTGAGAACATTTTTTTAACACTATGCTTATAAAAGAAATTACACTGAACAGCAGAAGTTTTCTGTAAGTTTCATAAACACATTTTTTTCAAGTCACCATTGCTAGCATAAGAAAATATCTTAAGCAATACAAGGATAGACTTATTTACACTATTTAAATTCAGACTATTGTCCTCATCTTTGTTGTTGTTATCACGACATTTCAGCAGTTGTGCCCTCTGGCCTACCTCAGGTGTATATAAATCTGGGTAACCTACAAAGAATTCTGAACCCTTTATTTAATCTATGGCAGTAGACTGTTCTCATCATGTCTAGGGATATTGTCTAATTCAGTTCAGAATTCTCTCTAGGCTACCCAAATTGAGATATACTCCTGAGGAAGGGCATAACAACAAAGATGAGTACAATAATCCAAATATAAATAGTGCAAATAATGATAACTCCTCATTCCACAAATTCAGACAGAAAAAAAGGATGGTCTTGTTTGCCATTTTTTAACATTTTTTTTTTTAATTATTCTTATGTTATATAATACAATGGAAAATTAAGTGATCTACAATTGTAAGTATTTGAAATCTGAAATATTTCTTGAATATCTATTTGCTGTTATTAGACCAGCTTTGGTATATGGCTACATTTGGGGGGATGGGGAGCATCCAATGAGGCTTGAACTTACTATCAATGGCTTTCATAACTGGCAAACTAATTTACTATGGAAAGTAATCTTTTTTTTTTTATTAATCAGATTTTCATACTATTAATGGAGGTAAATAATATCACATCCCAAGTAAGTTTCCATATAATATATACAATATGGAAGAAAGGTTTACTCTCCCTTTGCATTTCCCCCATTGTGGGTATTATTATAGCCATGATATAATAACACTTCATTTCATGGATGAAATGGAATGGCTGAAAGGAAAGGAATGACAAACATGATTTGTTCTCAGAGAGTTTTATATTTTATAGCTGTAAGTCATACACAAAATTATATATATATATATATATATATATATACACACACACACATCCCACACAGAGAAAATATAACACATATCTATATAACAAACATAGTGAAATGGGGATGAAAAAAAGTGTCTAATGTGTAATAATTTCCAATGCTACAAAAAAGAATGCAATGAAATGTGTTTTCTAATTCTACCATAAAACCTTTGAAAACAGAAAATGTTCAAAACATTAACAAAAAGCCCTTTATCATTTTATTTCTTAGACTTTCTTTATATTTTCTTGTAGAGATTATCAACAGCCAATGAGGAAATTATTGAGGTTTTGTTATCAAAGCAGCAACTCCTGCCAGCTCTCAGGTAAAAAAAAATAAATTCTTAAATAAAAATTTAAAAAACAAAAAAAAGAAAGATGACTGTTTACCATAATACTTTTTAAGTAGTCATCTAAAATTTGTAGATATGCAATTCAATTGATAGTAATGAGATTTTATAGTAATTAAACAATACTAAATTTTTATATTTGTGGCTATGATCATTAGAGCAGGTCAGTTTTGGAACTGTGGTATTGCACTCAATTTGAAAGTTCGGGTTTCACATGATAAATAATGAGACAAAATATTTTTTTCTTAAATCATTACCATTTTTTGAATAGACAAATTTAAAGATTAAGTTTAGGTTCAAAATTGTAGCATTGGAATTTCATTCCAGTGATCAGTGAAAGTCTTATAGTGTAACCTTATAAATCTTGTTCATTGAGTAGCCTTTTTTGTAATCTTCTATAATTTTTTTCACAGTTTTTACTTACTGATTAAAAAAAAAATTGCATATTTGGATTGTGGTGATTCATAATTATAATTCTGGTTTGAAGATATTTTCTATTCAATGTATCTAATACAAAAAAATATCAACTTTATTTGGATTTATTTTTGAAATAATAAAATTTTCAAGTCAGTTTGTAAGCAAGAACCAGCAGAAATTACGTATTTCTATACATTTTTCAGATAATCTTTAGAACTAAATGCTCAAAATTTGGTAAAAGCTCTGAATCTAATTTTTGGTGTCGCTACTTATCACATCAAACCCCAGCTTTCACGCTGAGTGCAATGTTGATTTTTCTTAAAAAAGTGAAAAAAAAACCAACCTGCCCCAATGATCAAATTTCGTATGAAAAAGTCTGGAAAATGAACTGGTTGAAATATTAAAATGAGAAAAACAACAAAGGTGAGAATTTTGTTTTAAATGGCATATCCCATATACAGACAATCATGACTCTTTACAGATTCCTTTTCTTTATCTTTGAATTGCCCTTGCTTCTTTGGAAAGATTGTGGAATGCTGTCTCTGTTGCTTTCTCTGTGGTTTTGAATAGACATTTGTTATCTATGAAAAACTTATTTTTTATTGCTAAATTAGAATTTAAAAATAAAAATGAAAAAAAAAAGGTTTATTTTTATCTACACATTCAGCTACAAGTGTCAGAATTTGTATACCTCTTAATGACATTGAAATAAATACCTGATTAAAAACCAGATCATCTTACATTCAAATATCTCATGATCATCATTATTCCTTTCAGGTTTATTCGAAGTATTGGTATCATTGACACAGTGTCTGCCCGTAAATTCCTTGAAGCTGCTCTCAACTGTGATGATCAGATGCTGTTCTATACAGTATTCAAATTCTTTGAGCAGAGAAATATCCGTCTCAGAGGTTCTCCAAAATTTCCATCAGGTTGGTCTGCTGCACAATGTCTTATCCCTAGATATTTTCAAAAATTGCAGTCACTCATGTTTTGTTTATTGGTCTTGAATAAAGAAAAAAAAGTTTTGTATTGTCCATAAAATTACTGTGGTAATAAGAGTTATTTACTAAATACAATGTTTCTCTATTCTTATACCTAAAAATTATTTTTTTAATGAGAACTTGAATTAAATATCTTCAGATATTCTGTAGTATATATTTGGCAATCTTGGCCATGCTTCATGCACTTTATTCTAATTTATAAATAGTGAAACTTCATTCTAATCTTTCCAGAGTTAAGTCTATAGTTATCGCCCTTTGTAAGGGAGGTAACTTCCCTTAATCGCATTGCTTAAATTATGAAAATCGTTTCTATTTTCAGGAGAACACTGTGAACATTATGTCCATCACTTTGAATCCCTGTTCGGGACAGAAGCCCTGGAGGATGTCCCATCTGGCTGAGATTTTAGTCAAGAAAATAGAAAAATCATGGAGATGCTCAAACCGAGAGAGGAAAGGAGCAATTATGTCAGAAATAAAGTTAAAATTAAAATAAGTTCCTTTGCTTTTGTTAATCTACTGTTCAAATATCTTTTCAAACATGAGTCTTAAGAATACTGAATAAAGGTTCATTAAAAATAAAATTTAATCCATTGTAGTTCAGTTGCCATTTTCTAAATTCAGCAGTAACATATTTAAGGGAAATAGCAAAACAGGCTTGAATATGTTTTTAAAATAGTGAATTCCTCCTGAGCAATTATTGGGCCTTAAACTCAACCCAGACCTCAAGTGGAACTCTTATATACAATCCATTGCTAAATATGTTGAAAAAAATGGTTGAGTTCCCAGTACCGTTCCAAACTCCTTGTGCTGTCATCTACTTTTACAAGACCTAGATCAGGCCTGCCCATTTGGGCAGAAGCTATACAATCTTCACTTTCCAGTCTCAAGTGAGTCCAAAAAGTGTCTCTTCTCACATCCTTGTAGGTGACTATTTTCTACCCGACCCCATACTCAAACATGAAATGTTACAAGCCTCTCACTGCTCTATCACTATTTCCATGAAAAGTGTTCAAACTACACTCCTTAATTTCACCAGTTCACAGCTAAGACCCACCATGCCACACATATTGTAGCAAATACTCTTTATTCCTTTTGTATTCCATTGGTGAGAAGTTTCATTCAAGCAGCTTCTTCCCATGAACCGCTGCTGTGTGGAACCAACTCCCAACAGGATGCTGCAATCATAACCTGTTCAAGTCTAGGGTTAACCATTATCTTCTTCACATATACTGTGCCTTTTACTCTAACCCTCTACCTCCATGTCCTTGCAGGTGACAAATTATTTTCCACCCTGCAAACTCTCACACAGGCAAAATGTTGCAAGCCTCTCACTGCTCTATTGCTACTTCTTGGACGAACTACATTCCTTAGTTCAACCAATTCTAACCTTCACATCTAGGATCTACCATGCCATGCCCATTGTAGCAAACCACCCTCATTCTCTCCATGTTCTATTGGTGAGAAGTTCAAATTGAGCAGCTTCTTCCTGTAAACCACAGCAGTGGAATTGAATCCAAAGATCTTTTTCCCAATCAGTATTAGTTTAACCATTACCTTCCCCATATATTCACAAACTTTGCTTTTTAACTAACCCTCTACCACAAGTGGCTCCTGTGCCTTGTACACGGTGAACCTCACTGTAAAAAAAAGACTTGGCAATTTGGAAAATTTAGTATTCTGGATTTAAGTTGGTTTCCTGAAAAAACTTGCTGATTATCACCCATTTCCACTATGTTCAAAAATATTTGAAAAGCTCAATAATAATCCACCTTACATAGTTTGACAGGTGGAGGGTGATTTTCTCTTTCTTTGATATCTTAAACTTGTTCAGGTCTCCAACTGCATTTAATTTGAAATACTAGTTTGATGTGATCATTTTTTTTTTGGTATGATTTCCTAGTTCAAAATGGGTTTCATTTTCAGTGAAAAAATGTCATATATCAAGAAATAAAAGTTCACTTAAATAATCTTATAGATAAGGAACTTAAATTCAAGCCAGCTGGACAACATTATAGCTTAATACAAGCCCAAGTGATTTTCAAAATAGTCAGTTGTTTTATGGTTTCAGCAACTGATTGCATACAAAAAATATTCGGTTTCTTAAAAGCATGGCTTTATTCAAGCAATATTTCAGTCTGTCTTAACTTTCAATAGAAAAAGAAATAATTTTCTCACCATTCCTCCCTACATTATCAGTAATTTAATATTGCAGCTAATTTTATGTAATGTAACTCTTCATATTGTAAATGTACAGGCCTGGTTTAATTGAACCATTTTAGAGTATTCTTATTCCACTAGAGACCATGGACCCAAATACAAGTAGAGGTATAATGAAAGTATAGAATAAGTTAAATGGAATTTTAGTAGTAGGTATTAAATTGGTTATAAAGCTAATGAAAGTTTCACACACACACACAACTTGATATATTGTGAGCACTTTGAAATGTGTGCTAATTTTTAGTTATATAAAGTGCAGCAGAAATACCTCCCACATAAAACATTAGCTAGATGAAGACACCATTGCCACTGTCTTATCGTTGTGGCCAGTATATGTGGGTAAATATTTCTGATGCTCCCTGTAGAAGTCTCATTAATGATTATCAAAACTTCATGAAGATTTTACAGACACTGATGCAGTTTTAAAATAGTTTCAAATAGTATTAATCTTTTTGAGAATGAAAAAGCAAATATAAAGAGCTAAAGTAGGTAGAAATATGAAAAAAAACTCAAATTAGTATAAATCCAAGTGGATGTTTATACAGGGTGTGGCAGAAATACACCATTGCCACTAATGTCTTACCATTATGGGAGTTATTTCTGCCCCACTCTAACGAAAATTATGCAATATCAATCAAAATGCTAAAAAAATGTCCTGAATCTTAAGAGGTAAGTTAACTCAACAGTTTGCATATTCAGATTTGGCAGGAATAGTTATTTTTATGTGCAGTTTTGAAGTTAAAGTTGCTGCTCATTTTTATTAAGCACAATTTAATGCCATTTTCATGTTTTTATACATAATTTTGTGAAGGCTATCTGTTCAGAAAGTCAATCATTTTTATAACACACACACTCTCCAAAATTAGGCATCAACTTAAAAATGGATATAAAATACAAACTTTTACCAGTTGTAAACAAGTGGGACATCAAACCTAACAATTAATGTACACATACTAGACTGCTAAACATATCCCACTAAAACTTGTTTGAACATTAACACACTCAATATTCTCTTGACGCTATAGCACACATCAGATAAATGTAAGCAAACCAAAACACTTAACAATTCAAACTAGTTATGGTTTGCATGTCATGTTGATAGCATAACACACCCAGTTTTGCTGGTCACAAGGTGTGCGGCAGCACTGGTTGTTTATATCAACAGCACTGCTACTTAAAAAAAAAAAAAAAAAAAGCACCTAACTGGTAAGTGTAACCTACAGAATTTATAGTTCATGTTTATCAGTATGACAAATTTAAACTGCTCACAAAGTTATGACAATATACAGTATCTACTAGTTGTAGGATCTCTGCTGTACAAAGATAGCACACTTAGTGTCTTAATACACAGATCTTATGTAGTTTTTGCAGTAGGCCTAAGTTTTAAGCCACTTATGTGTCAGGTAAAACAAAACTCAATTTTCCACTAAAATTCTAGGGGTTGAATTTTGTTCTATACTTTAAAGTAAAGTGAAATGAAACCCAAAGACATCCATTAGGTATACTAGTGTGCGTGTTGTATCAATCAATTTCCTGTTAACTATAATCTTCAAAAATTTAAATACACCAGCTCTCATCTCCTTCAGTCGAATCCAACATCCTGTTTAGAGATTAAATGATTGAGTGGGTAACTTAAGGGTATTTCAAGCAAACCCTTTAATCATTATTCACCCCCCACTAAGTACTGTACACCTCTTCAGTATTTACTACTAAGAAAAAAAAACAAAAAAAAAAAAAAAACAAACAAAAACAAAAGACAACAAAAAATGTATTTGTTTTATTTAATAATAAACTCACAGTATCCATACATTCCCTCAGTCATGCTTTCAAAATTAAAATCTCAAGTTTCTACTTTACAGACCAGAAAATCTTGAAGTTGGTTTTAAAGTACCATTCATTAGCCTTTAAAAATTTAAATTACAATTACATACATATTTACAATAGAGAGGCTTAAAAGGCATTGTTAAAATTTGCTCTTTTGTAATTTAGAAGTCAGCATCTAGTGTGAATTGGTGGTTGGCAGATCCAGACATGACTCCCATCTTTTGATATTCACCTACTCTTTTCTCAAAGAAGTTGGTCTTTCCTTCCAATGAAATGTGTTCCATAAAGTCAAAAGGATTCTCAGAATTATAAATCTATAAAATAAAAAATACAGAGTTTAAGGAAACTAGAAAATCTGAACAGGATGGGTGTAACAATCAGTAAAAATGGTTTCTAAATTAAAGATTGCACACTTGTGCTTTAAGGAAGTTGCTTCTGATAATGTCAAGTACAATGTGCATAAAAAGCATTACAACTTTGTAAGTCATTCACTGAACATCTAGGCATTAGAACACTAACATCTGCAATCTTTTAAGAGGTGCCATTTCTTGCCCTGTATATATCAATATTGCATGGTCTCAATCTAACAAAAAAAAAAAAAAAAAAAAAAAAAAACTTCCAACAATTTTTTCTCTCTGAATTACCAAATCTATTGAAAGGGGGACTAATAAAGTAAATAAAATACTCACTTTATCACATTCTAGCTCAATAAGCAGCCTGTCAGCCACAAATTCAATGTATTGTTTCATGAGATCACAATTCATGCCAATCAAATTCACAGGTAAAGCTTCTGTGAGAAATTCTTGTTCAATTTTGACAGCATCTGTGATGATGCCATAGATCTTTGATTGAGAAGGTCTGTTTACAAGATGCTTAAACATAAGACAAGCAAAATCTGTGTGAAGTCCCTAAAAAGAAAAAAGTATTCAATGATAAATTCTATAAAATTTAAAGCAGGGACAGGAATCATTTACAATCATCAAAGAGAAAAGTTAATTCAACAAAATCAAATTTGAAAACTTGCTAGAAATGAGAATTACTTACTTCATCCCTGCTTATAAGTTCATTGCTGAAGGTAAGACCAGGCATAACTGAACGCTTCTTTAACCAGAAAATTGCTGCAAAGGATCCAGAAAAGAAAATGCCCTCCACAGCAGCAAAAGCAACTACTCTTTCTGCATAGGGAACATTTTCAGCAATCCATTTCAGAGCCCAGTCAGCCTTCTTCTTAACACAAGGAAGAGTCTCAATTGCATTAAATAAACGGTTTCTGAAACGAAAACAAAACATCATCCATGAGGGTGGCAGTTTATCAACAATGCTTACAAGACTTTGGAATAGATTTAAAAGAGGATGGATTTGATTACACATTAGAAATGAAATGCTACAGAACCATCTTAGGCATTATCTACAGACAACACAAATGAGAATGTGAAACACTATTAGATAAGAAACAAGCTTGTTGGAACACATGTCAAGACAATGGATCTGGGCATTTTTAAAAAGCAAAAACATTGTATTTTAAGGATTTTTTTTATTTTATTTTGGCCAATAAGCATTGCTATTAGCAATTTTTTCAGAGTGATTTTTCTAACAAAGTTGAACTATTTAAACTCATTGCTAAAGGGTAGTTGTACATAAGTGAATACAGCAAAGTTGAACTGGTATGGCCATGTCAGAGCCAACAATCTTTCCATTAGCATCCTACAAGGTACCACCTTAGACAAAAAGAGGCCGACATCACAGTGAACTTTATCCATTTGCTAAGACTGACCTCGGCAGGCAACCAAGCCATGGTGGCAACAGGCCAGGTGGCTAACGATTGCAGTTAGCAAAAAGACATTTTAATATTTGCTAGAAAAGAAGTCACTTTGAAAATTGTTTTCCTTTAAGGCTGACTGATGTGTAATAATTTTGTCAACCACTTTCAGAATTAACATTGAAAAAGCAGGAACCATTTAGTTATATAACCTTTGCATACATTGTCAAGTCAAATTGAAAAGGCTTATGGTTAAATCATGTTGAAACACCAATTCCCCTGCAATGATCAAAGTTAAGTTGAGCCTGGCCAGTACCTAGATGAGTGACTGCTTGGGAATACCAGGTGGTGTAAGCTTGGATGCACAGCTGGAGTAATGGACAATGGTTCAAAATTGAGAGCCAAGCTCAATTCCCTATTGAATTTGTTATATTCATTCATGCACAAATACCCTTAGAAAGGTATGAATCTCTACACACTCTCAAACTAAAAGGAATTTACTGATACAAGTCTATTATTAAAAAAAAAAAAAAAAAAAAAACTAGAAAGCCATGATATTTCTGCAATTATCTTTCATGAGAAATTAGCATATAGGTCACATGAACTGAAGATCATATACAAACCTCTCGTCTATATCTTTTATGTAGGTGTCAATTAGAAGACTGTACATTTCAGAATGAATGTTTTCAATGGCAATTTGGAAGGAATAAAATGACCTTGCTTCAGCAATCTGCACTTCCTGGTAGAACCTCTCCACCTGTTATGGAAGTAATAAAATTTGACATTACCATTCACAAATAGTTTTTAAATGATTAGACTACTTATTAATAACCTACTTTCATCTACAATGTTCTTTGGACTGGTGCCAAATTAATGTGAAAATCAGATTGTTAATTATACAAAATATAGAGCAAATTTGTTGAGTTGCATACGCATCCAGCTGTTTTGAAGATAAGTAGAGAACTTGTCTGGAGAAAAAAAAAAAAAAAAAAAAAAATACTATTCTTAAGAGTGGTCAATACAGAGTAGGGGCAAATAGAATTTATTCGAAAATTATAGCAAATGTTATGAAATCACTACAAAAATAGCCATTTTGTTTCAACACTTCTGGTGTCTTATCAAGCGATGGTGCTGAATGTAGAATAAAAAGTTTTTCAAACACCATCACTTGATAAGACCAGAAGTGTTGAAACAAAATGGCTATTTTTGTAGTGATTTCATAACATGTTATAATTTCCAAATAAATTATACATATAGGCTCAATAAAAGAACTTGTTTAAAAGTTAACTGATGCATCATAGATACAACTTAGTGAAATTTAGTTAGCCCTTGGGTACACAAATCAATACAAAATCATTTACAAGTTTCCAAACAAGTATGAAAGCCCCAGTAAATGTTTTATGCACATGTGCAACAAGCTTTGCAAGTGAATGCATAAAAAACTCAGATCTTTAATAATTCAGAGAAAAAAAAATTTTTTTTAGCAGAATGTAAAGCCTTTAGGTACAGTTTGAATAAAAACAAGATTTTAGTGATCTAAAACTTGATATAAACAGAAGTATAGTAGTTTTATAGGTTATCTTTATAGACATTTTGCCAGGTCTTTCCCCAGCATTGAATTTTAGAAAACATACAAGAAATCTTACCTCTCAAATTTACTTTAATAAGACAGTAAAACTACACAAAATAAGCTTGTTATAATAGACACTTTGATAAAATTTTAGTATTAAAAAAATAATATACTAGAACTATTTCATGACAATATTTTAAAGCTATAATGTGGAAGCAAGAATATCCACAAGTAATTGCAGCTCATTCAACTATTTCTAATGTTGAACACTGGAAAAAATATAAAGACAATTTGTCATGATTACAAATTACAAACTAAGAGTACATCCAGTTCCATCCGAGAAAGGGGTTTTGTGTCATTAGCCAATCATATGCCAAAAACATTTATGTAGTTTGCTTATCAGCAAGAAATTTTTTTAGACAGTCTTTTTAAAAAGCAAATTATTAATCTGAAGTCCAGTTTTTCTAACTGAAATAAAATCATGACTGTCCAAGTTTAAGAATGCAATTTGCTACTTCACCTTAAGTTTTAAAATTCTATTTAGGGAGGGAAAGTTTTCAATTCCAGCCCCTATTTGATAAATTCATAAAGTAAACTTACCAAGTTCTCATTCACAATGCCATCACTAGCCGCAAAGAAAGCAAGCACATGAGAAATGAAATGCTTTTCCTCTGGTTTCAATCTCTCCCAATGTTCAAAGTCTTTAGAGAGATCCACCTCCTCTACAGTCCAGAAGGAAGCCACGGCCTTCTTGTACATGTTCCAGATGCTTTGGTAATGGATTGGAAACAGTACAAAACGCTGTTGGTTCTCTACCAACAGTGGTTCCACCTCAGTATTTTTAGTCATTTCTTTTTCCTCATTTTTAGGAATAGATTCCTGCTGTAATAAAAAATTTAGATATTTATTATTTATATGAGAATAGGATTTTTATTGTTCAATTGCCTAATATTTACTTGGAAAATTTTATTTTTAGTCTTAAAATTTCATAACGTATCATTAATTTTAATGTTTAAATTTAAAAACTATCAATATTAAGAGCAATTACAAACTTAAGTCAGAAATCAATTTGAAAGTCTGAGAATACAGGTAGATATGATAGTTTTCAAAAAAGCTTAAATCCGTTAATAATTTAAATTTATTTTAAAGTATGCTAGATTTTTTTTTTTTCATGAAAGCAACATTTGTTGACGCCAGAACTTAATTTGTGAAGTGAAGAAAAATAAAAATATTGTGATATTTCATGGCTACTTTAATTTAAATACAACTTCCAAATTGGTTTTCTTCAATCTTCCAATATTTGACAAATAAAATTGGACAAGTCAAGCAAATAAACTTTTTTTTACATAATCGCTCGGAGGCGGAGTTTTACGCAGTTCAAAGAGAAATTTAGTTTTTACGTAATAGTATTCAACACAGATTAGTCTTTATCAAAATAGAAAAATACTAGAAACAAAGACGAGATTTTAAGTAGCATGCATATTCACTTCATCATACTATTTGAAGTTTCGATGAAAATCGATTAGGACAAGAACGTTTATTTATAAACAAGTCGTTCAACAAGGCATACTTACGACGAGCTTATAATAAGAGTGATGAAATTAATGCCATTTACTATTTTTAGTGGTCTTTCTATATTTGTAAAGAAATATGCCGAATGGTTAATTAACCGCTGCACTTATACTTTTTACGGTAATTATTAATGTATACGAAAAATATTTTGTTTAAAGATTTAAAAAAAAAAAAAAAAAGTTATTACAAGCAAAATTGGGACTAATTATCCCAAACACTATATTTAGTATTTAATTATAGCGCAAAGTAACAAAATATTCTTATATTCATGTTTTTACATGTTACTTACCAGAATAAAATAAATCTAAATGATTCTCGAAAGGAAAAAAAAAAAACAGACTAAACCGGTGTATTGCAAGAAAGATAACTGGAAAAAGTTAGAAGCCAGAAGCGCGTGTTAAATTCGTGAGCATATTCCAATCAGTGATAAATAACAAGTGTTAGTTTTATGCATAAATTACTACTTTAAGTAGTAACTTTGTTTTAAAGATTTTTGAGCAATCAGCTCAATTCTAATTCTAGTTAGAACGGGATTTTAAAACCAGTTTCTTAAATAACAGACTCACAGGCAAGAAAAGTAAAACGTTCGGTTAGCTAGTTACTTTTTTTTACGTTTAAAAAAAAAAAGTAAAAACTAAGCCTTTATAAAGTTCACTCATTTTAAAAAGTTCAAATTACCCTGTTCGTAGCAGGAGGGCCTTTTTGTTTTAAAATGTCGCAAGCGTGTACGTACGTGTCGCTAGTTTGTTTTTTATTTCCATGGCAAATGTTCGGACGAGCACCACACCTTGCCTAGAGTCTCACCAATTTAAACCTTTATTACACTTTACAGTGAAGACTCGCTATGCAACGCCCGCAGAGTCGAGTCATTTATTCATTTCCTTCGTATTCCAATTGTAAAGAGGAAGTTCCATTCAGCTTCCCCCCACTACCCAACACTTTGATTAGGCTCCTGCGTGGATGCTTCACCGAACGGTACAATCTGGACTTCTTAATCAACCGTCACCAATCCTCCCTAGTCCTCACTCCCTACTACATTCATAAATTAAATTAAAAAACTAATTTAGTAATCCTTTTTTTACCTTTGAGAGTGGCTCTATTTGTCATGTATCGAGTGAACTAGTTTAAAACTTAATTTGAGAAACACTGAGGACAATGCAGCAGTAGCAATTAAAAAGTTATCAGTAAGACTTCGTTTCGTAATTCTATTTCTAGAACATTTGCGTTTGTTTCCGATTTGCGTTGCCGCTTCGTTTTTGTTTTGTTTTTCAAGTTTGATTTTACAAGCCACACCGAGCTAAACAAGTTACCTCCCTTGTTATTCGCTCACCATTGGGAGAGCGAAATGTTTAATGGAGGCATTTTTAAAAAATTAACCATGTGGACAGTTTTGCTAATTTAGACAAAATTATATTTAAAGATGCTGCCAAGGCTTGCAATAACAGTTTACGGAATTTTACACAGAAAATTCAATGCTGCATAATACAATCTTAACGTTTTCGCTTCTTTTCAAGACGGCTTTAGTTTTTTTTTTTTTTAAATCTGAGTGAAACGGAAAGCGTTTTATTGTGTGCGGACCGATTCATTTTTAAAATTAGATCCTTTAAACTAACAAAATTAATTCAAATTTAGTTATCAAGTCAGACGAGGATATGAAATTTTTACCTTTTAAAAGTGAGTAAAAACACTTGAATTCTTTTGTGATCACACCTTATGCTCAATGCTAATCGCGTCAATTACATAAAAATTCCGATTAGATGATTTAAGTAAAAATAAAGCATACACTGTAGAGTTTGTATGCTAAAAGCAAAGAAAATAAAGATCGACATATTAGATTCCCTTTAAGATAAAAGGAAAAGGGAAAGTTTTCTACGAGACAATGAGGATGTAAAAAGTCTGGCCTTTAGTCAGACTAAGTTGGGCCGAGAACATGTCAGCATCTCTGCATTGTCTGGTTAAGATTTTTTTTTTTTTTTTTGCACCAAAACTTGCTTTAGGAGGTTTGTTTCTTTGGCGAAATTGTTTAAGTTCAGAAACTTAATAGAAAAGCTTTTTCTACATAAGTTGGGGGGAAAAAAGAAAAAACCTTACCTGCTGCGTGATTTCACCCAGGACTTTTCGCTTCGGAGTATGGGGCTTTGGGTCCTGGAAGTAAAAAAAAAAAAAAAAAAGTTTAGAAAAAAGTAGTTTATAGAAATTTTTTTAAGTTAGATTACGTTGTACGCGCCAAAAGTTAATTGTAGGAATTATGGCACAACTATCGAAACGAAGAATTTCCTAGAGGGAAATTTTATGTAAGGATCTTCATTTTGAAGAATTGCATTTTTACTTTCTTTAATCTTCATAGTTTTAATTTAAATTTTACTAAATAGGAAAAAAAAAAAAAAGATTAAATGCGTTAAGTTTTTAAATAACTCGAATTCATTACTAATGAATGAAAATGATTTTTACACGTATTAAATTACCTTATTTTCATCGTTCACGGATAGTTTCTTAACTTCGGTTGTAATTGGGCCCATGATGAAATTGAAAAAATCAGCGGGAAGGGTAAACGTTTTTTAAAAAAAAGATGATTTTTAGTGTTTTTCTTTTTGTAAAACTACTTTGTCGACAGCTCTGCCACAAATGAGCGCGTTGAACTAATGAACGTTTTTTATACTTAATATTTGCGCGCTTAGATTTTTCTACGATCACTGGTTGGTTGCTCCTCCTTCCACGTAATTTCCATGCTTATATGTACAAGTTATTTTCTTGTTTTCTTTTCTTTCCTCAAAAATATTATTGACTTAAAAAAAAAAAAAAAAAAAAATGAAACTATAATTTGTTCAGGTTTTATTTTTTTTAAGTTCAAAAGTCAGTACACTAAAAATGTATAAAAAAAATTGTAACCCTTTTTTCTCGAACTTTACTTTCCTCCTTCAATATCACTGTCGCTACTTTTGAATCTAATAACAACAATGAGATACTTAAATGAAATCTTGCATAATCACTTGAATATTCATCCTAATTTCGTTAATTTTTTTTTTTAAGCTTAGAGTATAAGTTTCTGTTTATACTGTACATTTGTCCCGTAATGAGTAATTTTTTTTTTTTGTCAAGCGTAATTCATTAGCAACACAAACTTTGAAAACTTGCTTAAACTATAAAATTGAATTTTAAAGTAATAATTGAGCTTCTTTAAAAAAAAAACAAAATTGATAAGTTGGAAATGAATGTTATATTCTGATTTTATTCGCTCTCCCTAAATCCCATAGTAGATTCACATGGCTCTCTAGTTTGTTTTTTAAAGGTACTTATTCAGAATGCATAACATCAAACAATGGTAGATATGGCAACATTCAATAAACATCGGTTATTATGGAAGATAGCATACAGTTTGTACTGGAGAAAGATATAAAGAGAAGTTCAAGCAATAAACCTTCAGGCCGTATACGAAAAGGTAAATTAAAAGTTCAAAACAATATTTGTCTTCATTAGAGAGATTCTAGTTTATTCTTTCAAGTTTTATTTAGTTTTTTGTTTTCATTGTTTTATGGACAACCGCCGAACATAAAAATTAATTTCATTTTCTATAAAAAAGCAAATACATCAGCAAAGTTCAAAGTACTGACTTGATTAAATAAATTACAATCTTTTATTTTTGCATTTTTTTTTCCGCAAATTATTTTAAAAAAAGCAAGATTAGTTCTTGGTACTACTATCTAAGTAGAAGTACTACAGTCAAAAAAATCGGTAACTTTTTTTTTTTTTTTTTTAAGTAATTTTTTCACTTTTTAGTTAGTAGAATCCTTTTTTTACTTTCCTTAAGTCGCGATACTTGTCAGAATCGAAAAATATTGATTAATTATCGATTTATGTTCATAATAGCGATACATTTGACTACAGTAGTGTAAAAATAAAATCGATCCCTGATTTTTTTTTTTAGTCAGTTCTAGTTGTCTTCTCCCTCCCCCACTAAAAATTAAGAAAATCTTCAAAAAGAAAAGTGATATTTTTCAATTTTTTTTTTTTTTTTTTAATCAATTAAAAATTAAACAGTAAAATTTAAAAAAGCATTTATTTTATTAAAACAAAACTGAACAATTTTGCCGTTGCAAAAAAAAAAAAATATCAAAAATGAATTTCTTTTTTTCTATAATTAAAATTTATGAATGTGTTTCAAAAATCAAAAGCAAAATTGCGAATAAAAAATATTTTAAGTTTTTTTTTTTTTTTTTTTTTGGGAAGATTTTTCTTCCCGGGTAAGAGCATAGAACTCAACTGGTGTATTATTATTGTAGTTGCATCAGTGCCCCTAAATACCTCCATAAAGAAAGAATAACGTAAAATTGCTTATTTAAATTAAATATTTTGAAATTTATTCGTGTATTTGCTCATAACATTGAAAAGTTCTTAAAAGCTTTAAAATGTTCGTCTTTTTAATAAGCAATTTACAACTGTTACCATTACAAAGAAAACAAACAGTTTGTTTTAGTTTTTATAAAACGCGGGACTGACAGTTACGAGGGGAGGGGTTCGTTCCAACTTATGGATGATATATTTATGTTTTCTTGAAAAATAATGAGGTAACCGAACATTAACAGCTGAGCCCGCTTTTATTGCAAAATTGAAAAAAAAGTAACTTGGTAATTTTTTTAATCAATTTTATGTGGTTTTTGTGAAGAATTTTGTATCGCTTTTTCTTTCTTTCTTTTTTTTTACTTGAAAAGTTTGAAAACTTTTTGAAATCAAGTTTAAAGTGCGCTAATGTTAATTTTTTTTTTTTTTAAATCTGGTTCTAGTGAACACGCCCCGTTTTCTGAGTTAAACTAACATTTATTAATTAACAGCTCAGGTAAAAATAAAATAAGGAATCGTGAAATATACCTTTTTTTTATAGGATTTCATTTGCTTTTATTATCTTTTTTATGATGCAAATGAAATTTATTAATTAGAATCAAACTAAAATTTCAAATTGTTTTATGAATGGTTGGAACCATGCTTGGTAATTCTTTCTGTTTTTTTTAGCAATAACATACTGGAGGCGAGCAATTAAAACTTAAAACTATGATAGCAAATTCGATCTTCATGTGCTCTAAAAAGAAGTCTTTTCTTCATTCGATGATGTCATTATCCAAAAATGATTGATTTTGAAAATTATTTTTAACTAAAACTTACTAGATTTTTAACTATAAAAGTTAATTCATTTCAGGCATACACACCCCGTTGCAAATCCTACTTAATTTTTTTTTTAACTACAAATTTTCGGTTTTTCATGTTGATAAAGTTTTATTGTACATGTTCGTACACACACTGGAATTTGAAATATTAATCAAGATCCATTTCAACTGAATATTTTAAATTTTGTCTATTTCCAAATTCTAAATCTTCAAAATTAAAACGCTTTTTAAATTTAAGAAACTTTAATGATTTTTAAGCAGTTTATTTTTCTTTTTACTTAGTTTACTGCATTTTGTTTTGTTTTTTTTTTTTTTGTAATTTCTGAGTATCTCTCCTCAGAAATTACAAAAAAAGTCTAAAAAAAACTTTTTTTTTAATCCGACAGCTTTCCGGTAAAATAAATCCAAAATAAAATATATTCACATATTTGGTCTTACTTAGTTTACTTCGAAATTACCAATTTGAATTAAGGGAAGTTTTCAATCATTCTTTCAAAATTAAAAAAAAATATATAGTTGCTTTGTTTAGTTTACAAAGTCATTACCTAACAAAGGACTCCAAATTATTAAGTGGCAAAGGACCCAGTTTCTTTAAAAAAAAAAAAGCTGAAGCGGAAACATTTTTTTGCTTTTTCTACACTTGAGCAAAAAATTAATAGACATTAAATAGTCTAAAAAGAGAGAGAAAAATCTTTGATTTCTTGCAAATTAATTTTATTCAATCCTTTTTTTTTAATTTTAATTATTGAATCATTTTCTTTTTCGGTTATTAAATTTTATCAATAATTATATTTATTTAGTTTCTAGCTTTTTGCAGCTTTGCTTTTTCAGACATCCGTCAATTGTTAAATTTAAATAATTAAATAAATCCTTACTAAAGAAAATTTGTTTCTTTGGAAGTATTTCTTTTTTTTTATGGCAGTCTGTCACAAGGCCAAATGTGGGTAGGAAGATGAGTTTCTGTTTGAGAGGTCACTTTTCTAAATGGAGTTAAAAATAAATACCTGTCTTTCTTGAAAAATAGCTCCTGACTAAAAAGTAAAAATACACATCTACTTCAGACTTCACTTAAAGACATTACCATAAAATAAAATTTAATTACGACCAATAAATATATGATGTAATCACGATTTAACTGTTTTTTAAGAAAAAAATAAACTTTAGGTCTTGGATAAGAGAATCATTACGATTTTTGATCTGCATTATACAACTTAATTAACAATTGGAAAAAAAAAAAAACAACTTTTTTTTTTCGTTTTTTTACGAAATCGATTCTACGTTTTTTTTTTTTTTTTTTTTTTTAGTTCTCAGTTTCAGGTCAATTTTTGTCTGAGTGTCACTGAATTCATTTTTAACGTTTTCTTATTGATTTATTTTCAGGTAAATCGTTGTTTCATTACTAATTGTACTTTTTTATTTGATAGTTAATAATTAACTGGAAATTAATTAACTGTTAATTAATTTCCATACATTTCATTTCTATACAAGACAAGTGTAACAATGTTTCGCGGTGTCAATTTAATAAAATTATAATTTTACACTTAATCTTGAACATTTTTTAATTCACTTAAATTTTCTGCTTCTGGCAATTTGGGATATTTGTATTCATTATCCTCTTTATTTATTTGTTCAATTCAACGTCTGCTACAGTAATCATCATATTTTTCACAACCAATTTCGCGCCAAATATACACTGTAGTGTATACAATAAGACAAGAGTCTCTAGAGACACAAAAAGACCAACTGTTTCTGTTAAGATTTTTTTAGCAAAAATATTTTCTTTAAAATGTTATTTTTCTCTCATGTTCCATATAATAAGTAAGTAGCTACTGTTGGTTAATTTTCTTATAGCATATAAAAAGACGTAAAAAAACACCCTCCAATCTTTCATGAATAATCTTTTTTTTTTTTTTTTTTTTTTAGGATGGTAAAAAATTATCGTGCGACTTTTTTTCTCTCTAGCTACTCCTTCGCATTTTCAAGTAATTTTCCATTTTCCTTTTTAAACTTGAAAATTGGCTCCTCCTTATTCCGCGAAAATTGTACTTTCTTTTTTTTACAAAAGAAATGAACTTCGTAAACGGTTCGGCTTCTTATTTCGTTTTTGCAGTTGATAAATTTTCCCCCGCCAGAAATGTTTCATAAGCGCGACTACTACTTAAAAACACATGGAATTTGAAAGCGTTGCTATTTCCTGTTTTTAGGGCGCCAATCAGTCGAAATTGGTCTGGCATAAGGTCACAAGTGTAGGGAACAAAGTGAAAGATAGTCTGTAAGACTAAAAAAATATTGATTGCTCAAAGCAAAATTATGGCAAAGTATTTTTATCTTAAATTTTGTGTTTTTTTTTTGTTTTTTTTAGTGAAAGCAACAAATTCTTGGTTGAGGCCATAAGAATGACCCATTTTGATTACGGATAATAATTTATGACATGTCTTAAATATTTGTTTAATGTTCCTATGCAACAGTTTGATTTCAAGTAATAAAAATGTTTGATTAAAATTTAAAAATAAATCCATGAATTCGTTAGAAATTGTTTTGTTTACATTTTGGATATGGGCTTTTGAGAAAATCTGAATGAAGTTTAGTAATTCCTTAAGTTAAAAAACTAAAAGAGCAAAGCTTACTGGACAGTGACACTCTCTGTAGCCGAGCAGTCTAAAGCACGCCAGATCAGACAGTGGTTTCTCCTACAAAGGGTCTCATGCATGTTCAAACCCTGTCAGAGAGCATATTTTCTTAAGTTTTCTCGAGTGTGCACACAAGTTGACGTAAGACACTGTTAATAATTGAACCATTACGAACTGTTGCCTTTTTAAGCAACTGAATTCACAAACCTAACTATATATGTGCATTAAAATCAAAACAATTGTCATCTTTGGAGCTAAATTTACTTTATTGCTGTAATTAATTGATATCAAGACAAAAACCAATCAAATACTTGTAAAATTAGTTATAGCAACATCTTAAGGTACTACCTTTTACTTTTTTTCTTCCTTTAAATCCTATGGCTCACCACAGCTTCTTTTTTTTAATATTTGTAAATTGACATGTCTTCTTGGGAACTATTGTGGAATGGTTTCCTGTTGCCTTTTCCACCATTTTGAATTTACAATACTTATGCTGGACTGATTGCCACCTGAAGCTAGAGAGATGCTCTGATATTTAACCCATAGCTGGGGGAGAAGAAATGGATTCCTGCCTTTCCTATGGCATTTGTACAAAAGTGAATACTGCCAAGGACAGAATTTGAACTCAGCTTAACAATTCTTTCTGTGCT